AGGTCCTCACCAATTATCCTTAGCAAATTGATCAACAATTATAATAAGTTGATCCCTAAGACAATTTCCTTTCATTTTTTATTTCAAAATCAAATTTCAACCGTACATTTGCATGCAGCATAACCATTAGAATTGATATTGAGATATTGATGCAAGTTCCTCCTTTATAAATTAGATAGATTCATATATGATCATTTAATATAGCTAAAATAATTGAATTGAAGCAATTTACTTGCGACACTTAATTTACATTGCAATTTTCCTAAACATTACGTGTATATTATGTTTTCTTTCTGAACTCGAATCATGAACTATATGACGATAAATGAACTAAAATAATAGGCAATAGAAAACACTGGGGAAGAAATAACTATAGATGCTTGCTTGTGATCCCCTGAAGGGAGTGAAATGAAACTACAAAATAAAACGTTCATTAATTCCCTGTGTATGGAAACAACCTTCACCAAAGGCTTATCTGGAGGGGTTCAATGACCCCTCCTTCTGTACACATAGTATGCTTCTAAAATGATGGCATTATCCGCCAACTAAGTTCATATTCATCCACACTAGAAATATATAATTTTAGGATACCATCTTACACGTCCATGTTGTAAACAAAAGAATACATATCACCCATTATTAGAGCACACACTCTTCAGGTCCAAATGAAGATCTCCAAGAAACACAAAACAAACCATTAATATTTACAAATTTGAGGTTCTCAAAAACCAATGTTGCTGCTGTCACCCAGGAACATAATAATCCATCTTGTCTACAGGCAGATTCAGCACTGATGTTTCAACCTATACCATAGAGAGAGAAGGAAGAACAATAAGGACGCGTTTCTTACACAAGATTAGATCCAACAATGAACAAGATTAAAATTTCTTTTCTTTCTTAGAGCTTGCTTCGCTATAAGTAACTTTTTTTCGAGCAACGGGAAGAACATTAAGAACATGTTTGGTACACATTATTCAATAATACAACGAACAGATAGCTTCTCTCTTTCTTAGAGCTGGCCTGGCTGAAAGTAACTTTTTTTTCGAGCAAAAAATATATTAAGAACGTGTTTAGTACACAGTATTCGACACTATAATGAACAAAATTATAACTTATTTTCTTCCTCGGAGCTTGCTTCGCCAAAAGTAATTTTTTGAGATTTTTAGCTCAAAAACTTATCAGAAATGTACTGCATTTTTCATTTAAATTTGTTCAATCCACCATACGAAGCCCCTCTTTGGGCTCCATTTTTTTCAAAAGTGCATTTCCAAAACTCATTTTCAATCAAGTATTCTCTCATAAAATAATGTTACACGTAAATCCAGAACTTTTCTTTAACCCATGTTTGAGGTCTATTATTTCACTAAAATGAGTTCTGAAGAAGTTAATTTTTTGAGAATGTGAAGTTAAAAGATAGGAAAATTTTTGAATTTATGTGCAAAATATTTTATTATGAAAATGTGTGGTTGAAAATGAATGAAGTAAAAAAAGAATTTCGAAATAATGGGAGTCAAGCATGTGCTTATTTTTTAATCACATATTCTCCAAAAAATCACTACATCAAAACACATTTTCTCCTAAATTCTTATTTCAATGGAGTCCAAATAGGGGATAAATAAGCTTTAAGACGAAATGCATAGGAGTAGCATGAGGATCCTTATATTTCTAACAAAAGTCAGCTTCAAATTCCATAACTGTCCCTTCGAACCCCCCACACAAAAACAAAGAGAGAAAATATGAATTCCAGCAAGGCTATTGCACAAATAATGCAAATTGTTTGTTTACTTAATGAAAGTGCATGTTAGATCTGTCAATGCATTGTAATGATGCACAAGCAATCTTTTTTTCTTCTAAAGGCTAAATTTTGACAGTCAAATCAAGCAGTGATTAAAAAGAATGAAGAGGGGTGAGAACGTGTAGACCAAAAAATGCACCTTCCCCTCTCCGGTTTAGAGAAGGGGAGAGGGGTTTTGGTGTTTTTTTTTTTTTTTTTGGGGGGGGGGGGAGAGAAAGAATACAAAGCTGTAAATAGTTCGATGTGTGTCCATATACAAAAGTGAAATTAAATTACGCAAATATAACTATATCCCAATGAGTATGTAATGATACAGAAAAAAATGGAACATTAAGTAATAGAGAAGAATTAAGCAACAGGGAGAACCAAATAAAACCAACTTTATTCATCATTGTCCAAGCCAAAATTCAAGTTATTCAGAAGAAACTGCTGTAGAAAAGACTGGACAGTCACAAACACACACAGAGACATGGAGAAAGATAGAAATGTTGAATTTTTTTAGGTCAAAATAAACTCAATTGAAGAAAAAGAAATACGTACTTCATCGAATGGAACAAAGACAAAAGGTGTAAGACCCTTATTGTGTGAAACTGCCGGAACATCAGGGTTATGCGTTTCATCCTCCTGCCACCCTTCAACTAGTCCAAGAATGTCTTCGTCTGGACCACTAACCTCATTATCATTCACACCACTAGTAACAAGTGAAAGCAGGTCCATTCGGTTATTAGCACCAGCTGTTGTCCCCCTCAATCTAGAGTAAACAGAAGAACATGAAAATTTGTTTAGGGTAGATATAGGTAGATATTGCATGGTAATATCATTGAAAATAACAGGAAGTAATTAGTTCTAAATTGAAAATCCAAATATCGTTCCATAGAGCTATTGTCCTTCGTTTGATATATGAGATTGAGGAGCTACTTAACCCCAGAAGTTTGTTGTCGTTCATCTAAAACACTAATAATCACAATGTAACCTCAGTGTTGTACAACTAGATTAAGGGCTTGTTTGATAGTGATTATGAAAATTGATTTTTTTGACCGTTGAAAGAGAAAAATGAGTCTTACCTATGATTACCTATGAGAGAAGAAGTAAAAAATGATCTCTGACTTAGGGAAGTAATGGTCAAAAAATTTATTTTTTGGGGTGAAAAATTAGAAGCAAACATGCACTAAACACAAAAGGACAGATTCGACAAAAAAGCATGGGAGAGAGGAACCTTCAAATTGAAAAATCATCTACAAAGGTCTTCTGATAACCCAAGATAAACAGGTCTGAAACAAGTTAATCCAGGAATGAAAAGACAGCCCCCACCAACTAAAGATGACCACGAAATTCAAATTGCTCCAAGTCAAGGGTTCTATTTAAGCTCTCTTCTCTTGCCTGGCCTGGCTAGCCCCGCTCCAAGCTACCCTTGGCTAATAAAGGCCCCTTTTTAGGTGAGCTAAGCCTAACTCATTTCTAGTTTTATTATATATTTTAATATTTTCTTTATTAAAAAACTAGAGGCTTGCCCGACCTGCCTGGCACAGATTCAAGGTATGGGCACCACAAGTTGGACTTTTGGCAAAAACTGCCCGGTACTAAGAACACTCTCCATGATTACTAGAGACCTTTGTTCTCACTCCAAGGTCATGAAACACCTTCAAGAACTAAGGAACTTTTCTTTTCCCCAGACTCAATGGAACCTACTTTCAATAATTAATGCCCTCAAATCCTATGGCATTAGTCAGCATATCAAAAGACACTGCGCATTAAGCACCTAATAGCACCAATGCATAATTGGGAAAATCAAAAGTCAATAGCTGTTCAGATATTTAGCCCCTGTTTGGTTTTGATAAAAATAAGATTTTTAGTAGATTTTGATAAAAGTGATGAAATATATGTTTGAAAGTTGTGGGTCCCATGTAATGTGAGGTTAAAAATGAGTTCAAGAAAAAAATTGGGAAAAGAAAGGGGGTGGGGGGCTTAATTAGTGACCCATATTCTTTTAGGGGGAAAAAAGCCCACTCCAAATTTCTGATTGATTTAAGCTTGAAAAGACCTGGAAAACAGAAAAAATCCAAAATCCATAAAAGCGTGGATTTGGCATGAAAATAATCAAAAGACGGTGAATGCTGAAACACGTGGTATTATTGATTACCTCAAGCGGATTCTCCAAACAGTAGGACGCAACCCAGGATACAAAAGAGCAGCTTCAACCTGTAAATTTGATATATGAAAATGAGATTAAATGAAAGATTAAATAAGCATATCTACACATTAACAATAAATAAACCAATCGACATTTCAAAAAAAAAGGAAAAAAAAAAACATAGAGAGAGAAGGGAACCTTGTCTTCAGAAAGTGTGTAACGACCACTAAACATACAATCAACTTTTGAGGTGCGAAAGTTCATCAATTTTGCCACATCTTTCACTTTTTGTGATGAAATCTATCCACATTGGCAGAAGGAAAAAAAGACCATCATGGTTAGATATTGCTAAAAAAGGCAATTTTCTATTGTTATAGTATATGCAATCAATCAGTCAAGCATTATGACCTTGTGCAGAAACCTGCCAGAAGGATAAAACCTCATGTACCGGAAATAGCAAACCTGCAATACAAAGAAAAATCATCTTATTAGTCACCAAAACTATGCACCAAGAGTCAGTAAAGAAATAAACGTCTTCTAACAGACTTCAATTGCTACAAGAGAATAAAAAATCAAAGAAGCAGGATAGTTTTCTTCCACTAAAGTCAAAATAGACAGCAAAAGTAAAATTTCATGCTGTCCAAAGAATTACAAATATAATCTATAAATTCATCAAAAAAGTCTATATATTCTTTCAGCTCTGTCAAAAAGTTACTACATTGAAGCCTCTCTCTTTCTGAGGTACATAATATTTGAATATTATCTATCACAAAGGATTTAACATACAAGTTCTTTTGTGCAGCAGAAACTGAACGAGAAAATAACACAACTGATGCTAATAAATACATACAATATGGACTGGATTAGTGATCTTCCACTCCACAACCCCAGCACGAATATAGGTGTTCCGACTGACATAGAGACCTACAAAATTGATACAAAATCAGTCACAAGCACTGCATGTGTGCCTAGAACCTATATGACAGTTTATTATAGATACGCTACCAAAGTTTAGGGTAGATTCCTAATGATAGGATGCTTTTTCACTGATCAAGTATATGTCTAGGTTGTTGATGAGTTTTAGTCTGTATGATACCTTCACAATAAATTTCAAAATGAGGCTTATGATAAAGATAGTATGTCTTGGCTCATTTTCATGTCCGTAGAGCGGAGTAGGCAGAGACAAATTAGACGCCGAGAACTTGAACTTTTGCAGAACTTAAAAGTATGCCACTTTTTTTTTTTCTTGATCGATTGTATGCCACTTTTTTATGTATGTTATAGGAGAAGCAAGCTCATAAGAATATATTTTCACTCACAACTTTACAGTTGCCTTGTATGAAATTGTCAACTTAACCATAGGATGATAAGGAAGATCGAAGCTACAATTTAGTCAGTAACATGACGAATGCTCATCAGATTAGAATTAATAGTTATGAACTCTACTTAATTGATAATTGGCATCAGAATATTTTCATGTAAGAGAAAATTGGAAAGTTCCATCAATATGAAAGGAAAAAGGCATCTGGTCTAACAGCTTGACTTTCTACATTTAAGAAAAGCATGACTGGCAGACAAACTTCAGTTTACTCAATCACAATACAAGGTTTCACAAAAATTATCAGACCCCTTATTAATTATTGGGATAATCTAAAATAAGAGACAATAGAAGAATCTGAAACGTGTGGGAATAGAGTCACTATAGTTCTATAGCTATATAAGATTGATATATCATATTGATGCAAGAAAAAGTATAAGGATATATTTTACCATCAGTACGGAGTCTAGGTCTTAAGAGCCACATTTTCCTCCATGAACCATCATAATTCGATTGTAGAATCTTGTAATTTTCTGCAACTCCATTGAGCTACAAAGAGGAATCCTCAAGTTGATAACAGATAACGGAATATAAAAAAGAGTAAAGATTCACCACCATCATCTCATCTACCTGCCAAGCCTTTAAGCATGCATTACGCCAGAACACCGGGTTTCGAATGGTATATTTCCATTTGCGACAAACACAAGCAGCTCTCCCTAAGGTATATGGAGTCATTCTTGAAAAAATCTACAATGAGATTAATCACAGTTGTAACTTCTTCCTACATGCAAAAATTAATGAGAGCTTTGATAAAAAGATGTAAATGACATTTCCTGATAAGTAAATGATTATCAACATAACTGAATTTCTTTGCGCAAAAATTGGCAATTAGTTATGGAAACAAATATGGATCATTTACAATGATGGTTATGGAACCACCTAGATTTTCAACGACATCAAAAACCTCCTAGTCATTACAACCCCAAAATACGACCAATTGTTCCATGTAATACATATAGAACAAGGATCCATAGCTATCTTTTCTCCACTGTATGCTTTACTATTTTTGAGCCACATGACAGGAGGCTGCAGGTTTTGATTTAGCATTGTGTAATATGGCTTCAAGTGCAAAGAACTTTGTTTGTGATAACAATTGTGGTCCTCCTAAGGCTCCCTTCATTTTTTCCCCCCTAAAAAATGTTAATGTCTATCACCTAATTTTAATGTTATAACTGGTCAGATTTAAAGTGAAAACGTGGTTCCACAATCACCAGTTTGTCTTTTGTATATCTGGGGACCGGAAAGAGTTCCAAAACTCTATGATCTAGGGCATTCTCAAAATAGTGTCACGTTGTCTCCTCAAGTTGTTCCATGGCTCTTGACATCTTATATAGACATCCATATCCCTAAAAAGCGACAAAGGTGAAAAGAATCCTCTTTAGCAGCAGATTTATTAAGCGACCCAGAAAACCTTACAATATTGCCTAATTCTCAACTTTTCAAGAAAAAAATAAATAAATAAATATAAATAAAAATCCTTCATAACCCTATCTGATAAAATCTAGTTGTATATCGTAAAATCATTATTCCCTAGAAGGACAGTTCACTTCCACAATATACAGACCTATTACTTGCTCCTTTTGGACTACCGATATCCAGATTTAAAACATAACATATCATTCAGATCTTCACAGACAACATCCAAAATTAAAGAACATGATAGACGAACCACAACCATATCTTTATATCCAAATCATTGATTAAAAGAAGATACCACATTCCAGAGAAGTAATTACCTCAAAAAGCAACTCGTCAGGCAAGTTCCGGTGTATGAGCGCCTCATCAACAGATGGTTCACGACTTACACTCCCAAAAGGGGCCACTGGTCTAACATTAATTCCATAAAGATCTGATAAAGAAACAATCATACAAAGAACCATATTAATAATTTAATAATAATCGTTGAAATATACTATTGACACACACCACAATGCGAGCATGCAAAATAATAATTCGCATCCATTTGTTCAAGCGTCCAGCACATATATGCAAGTATAGTATAAAGCATATGCATATTAAGTGAATAGAAACATAAGAAGAAATTAATTACCAAGCCATGGTCTTTGTGTTACCAAGAACTGAGCAGTCCTCAACCGTGAGGCTGATTCAAGCTCAGCTGCAATTTTTAATGCGTAATCTGTAAAACAAAAAGTATCCCTTCATTCAAAGACCTTTAACCAAAAAAAGAAAGACAACTATACGAATTTCTCCAAATGAATAAGCACAAAAGTGTATAACAAAATTCCAAAAATGGAAAATAAGTTCGACGTGATAAAAATAAATTCAATTGATTGTGCGTAAATTCACTAAAATGAGAGATTCCTCAACATGTATGTAAAAATTCTCCATGACATACAAAACCCAGAAAAATTGCACAAAAACATAAAAAAATGACAATACCTATATAATTAGACCAATAAAAAAATATAAATCAAGGAAATCATGGTTGCTAGTGTATATGCTGAAAAAGTTGACAATAACCAGATAATAAGGACCAATTAAACAATATAATCAAGGAAATTATAGTTGCATTATATTATACGCCAAAATATTGGATTACCGTTGAACATTACTTGCTTGAAATCATTGAAGTTAATTCAATTCTACTTGACTATATTCTACTGACTAGACATCACTTTGCTAAAATGAGCGAAATTTGCCATAACTTTAAGAAACAAGCAAAATTACACAAAAATATAAAAATTTGACAATACCAAGATGATTAAGCTTCCATTTAGTAAAATTAATAAATCATTTAAATGGTCAAAAACTTCATTTTCAAATAGAAATTCCAATGGATCCTTATTCACCACTCACTTCTGTTTATTTAAAATTAAACTGTTCATGAATTCTTCCCAAGTGGAGGCTTTGCATTATATAGTGCAGAAATAACAGAAATTCTCATTTATATCCCATGAATTCAATGAAGATGTTTAAAATTCACCAAGAAAACATTCTACTGATTATACATAACTTTTGCCGAACCAAAAGGATCTTCATTATGTGAGCAAATTCTCCATAATTTAAGAAACCCAGCCAAATTACACCAAAACATAATAAAATTGACAAAATCCAGATAATTAAAACCAATTTAAAAAAAACATAAATCTCCATAACTTAAGAAACAAGAAAAATAATTTGACAAAACCCAGATAATTAAATGAAATAAAACGATATAAATCAAGGAAGTGATAGTTGCATAATATAAGCACTGAATTATTGGAAATTCCCATTGAAAATTACCCGCATGAAGTCATTGGAGGTAGTTAAATTCAACAAGACAAAATTCTACCGAATATACATAACTTCGCTTAACCGAAAGGCTTATGTGCCAAAATTATCCATAACTTTTGAAACCCAGCAAAATTAAACCAAAACATAATCAAATTGGCAAACCCAGATGATAAAAACTACCCAAAAAAAATAAAATAATAATAACACAAATCAAGGAAATGATAGTGACATGACACATGCGCTGAAATATCAGCACATTCCAGTTAAAAATTACTCACCCGAAGTCATTGAAGATAATTTGAACTGGACTTTCCTTCCTCCCGAATCCTGTGTGAGGGATTGGAATCTTTTTCCTTCCTTTTGGGATGGAAAATGTGGAGGAAAATTAGAGAGAAAAATTGAGAGGAAAAATGGAAGATTAGAGACTGTTGTTTAAACACTGACCAATGAGCTGATCGCATGGGACCCGAGTCCGGAAGTTGCGGTCAAACCGGGTCGGTTGCTGACCAGTCGAACCAACATCAGTTTTGGGCTTGGATCAATTGGGCCTCTTGCTGGATCTTGTGGCATCTTTGGGTAAATTAGGCCCAATATCAACTTAAACTAACTAAATTGAATAAGAGAAAAAAAATCATATTTTAGGTGTATTCTTTACACCATAGTTAAATGACTAATGTTCACAGATTCACAGTTATAGGTCACAGATTTATTTTTTGGTTACATATAGTCAAATTAATTGATCACAAATTATTTCGTTGTCATAAATCAAAAATTTTGTACGTTACAAATTATTTCGAGGTCACAAATCATTCAAATTATATGTCACATTTTATTTATGTATCACACTGGTCGCAAATTATTTTTTAGTCATAGAACCTAATTTTTTGTCACAAATCAGTGAAATAGTTGGTCACTGATTCCAAACACCCCCACTTCCAGTCCCGATCCAACACTAATCTTGGTGACAAATCACCACAATTCAATCGTCGCCTACGCCACACCACAGCCTCACTAGACCCTATCTTGATCCCATTTCACCACAATACTTGGTCACAAATACCATCCACCCCCGCCACAACACCATCACAACCACCGCCAACAAAAAACAGTACCACCACATGAAAACCAACATTGCTACCCACCAGCTACCTCACCAAGCCAAGTCGACCACCAAACGCCACTTTCTTCCCTTCAACATACCAACAATACTACGCCAAAAACATCACGTTGACTAAAGAACATACCACAAGCCACTGCAGAAACAACAAAAAACTGTTGCAGCAACCGTACTGGCCTATCGCCTCACACAGCAGTGCTTAGATCGTTGTTGCACGTCGCGGCTTCTGAACTGAGAGTCGACACTGCTGAGAACTCTTAATAGTCCTCGAGGTCAAAGCGTCGACCGGCAGTGGGCACTTCTCAACGATGAAGACGGTAGGAAGAGGGTATAAAGAGAGAGGATTCAACTCCAATGGTAACGTAAAGAAGATATACAGAGACAATTCAACATTGTCGTTCGCAGGGACAGCCAGATAGTCCTTGCAACGTTGCAGCGTCGCCAACCACGTACACACCTCCAGCGTGTGTCTCGTCAGAGAAAGTCGGATTTGTAGCGATTGAGACATGGAGACAGGGTCACGGGAGAGGAGAATAAAAAAAGAGAGAGTAGGGATTTTGAAAATTGTATTTGGATGAGTTTGGAATTGAATTGGGATAGATTGATATATTTTATTATTAATAATTAAATCCATACCTGAATATTGAATAAAAAAACTTTTCCATATGATTTTTGCACTGTGATATTCAAATATTTGGAATTTTCTAATTTCGACATTGAATAATACCCTTTTAAATCTAATTAAATCATTTGACCCGTAATTAATACATCCCAGACTTATAACCCATCCGCCTCTCCTTCATTTTCAGTCTCCACAATTACATAAGGATCCAACCACAAGCAACAGCTGATCTTCCAAATACCTATGCAACAATCCCACCTTAGTTCCTACATCTTCACAGCAAACTTTCTCCTTTTTCTGTAGCCTCTGTCGACGTTGGAGGCGACGTATGCGGAAACATATCTACAAATAGCAAATAAAGGGGCCCACTGCACTCTAAGGGAAGAGAAAAGGGTTGCAGAGAATTAAAAATGAATATCTCCTGCCATGATTAATCGAAGATATGAAGAGCATTACGATGAATGAAATAGATGTTGAAATTGAGTGGTTGGAAATCCAATACCCCTTCTTTTCAGATCTGCAAATGGTGACTTGAAGCAGTATGAAGAGAATGCGAACAAAGGAGGACATTATTGACTTTATTCGGAAAAATCGAGATTAGTCTATTCAAGCTGCCTCAGTGTGGTGATGTCGATTGGAATAGTTGATAATAGATAGGGTGTTGTGCAGTGATTAATTGGAAAAGCCGACAAATCTATTTTGCCTTGGGGGAAGACACCGGGATTGTAGAAATTTTGAGTTGGTAAAGCTAGATATGATTTTGAAGCTTCAATTTGTATACTGTATGCTTTGCTATGAGTTTAATTTGCATGTTGAACTTTAAAGAATGTCTGCGAGTGGAAAAGAGTAGTGAAGTTAAGGACCTATTTTTTCACTTCACTCATAAGGCATAGGTAAGTAAATTTGAGAAATAATGATGAAATTAGGGTCCTTTTGATTGCAAATATGGAACTTGGGTGGAAAGAAAATGAATTTCAAGGAATTGAATTGCCTACAAATTATTTAATTGAGAATTGTCAATTATTGTGTTTGTTGGTATAATTTTTCACCTGAAAAATATTGAAATAAAAGTGTCATTTTGTGTTCGTTTGACTTTATTTTTCATAAAAATTGTTAATTTAAGAGATATTATTTTTTACAATTGTTCCTAGAATTCATTTTAATGACCCAAAAAAATCCAAGAAAATCAAAAATATCCAAAAATTATCTATTTCTTGGTGTTCATTTGGCTTTGTCAATTTAAGAGATGTCTTCTTTTACAATTGTTCCTATAATTTGTTTCAATTGCAAAAAATTAAAAAAGAAAACATGGAAAACCAAGGGTGAGAATTGAAAAGCCATGAAAACCAAGAAAACGCTGACGTGGTGGCCAAAGTGGGAAAATGAATTTCTTAGAAAATTTTGCCAATTAAACAGGCCAAAAGTGGAAGTTGAAATTTGTTTTCCATTTTCCATGGAAAAAAATTGGCTATCAAGCATGGCCTTAGTGAATCAAGGAATTCTTTTTTAACAAGAGCTAAATAAGTGAATTTTACTCGTCGGGGAATATAAATTGAAGGCATTGAGTTTGGTAGTTCCTATGGTAGCAATGACACAATGCCTCAATGGACTAATCAAAGCACAAACGCAAAGTTTAGTTTCTGTCATTTTTTTTTTTTTTGAATTTGTGTCACTTTTTTGAGTTTTTCACTTGAGGGTTTGTTACTTTTTTAATTTGTGTAATTTTTTTAATTTGTCACTTTTTTCGAATTCGTCACCTTTTTAAATTTCTGTAATTTTTTGAATTTTTGTTACATTTTTAGTGTTTGTCACTTTTTTCAGTTATCTTTTTTATTTAAAATTTTAAAAACCAAAAAAATAATGCTTAAACTAACAATTTTTTTTTTTTTTACTTTACAGGGCGGGTTCGGGGTCGGAGGCCCCGTGAAGCGAGTTTTTTGGCCCCATTCGGGATGGGACGTGTTTTTTTGCTATCTCTATAGTGATCCAATTCACTTCCAAATTTTTTTTCTCATTTCGTTTTTTTTTTTTTCATTTTTCCCTATTCTTTTCCTATTTTTGTTTTTTCTGTTAGAGAAGAAACAACAATGTTTTATCTTCATTTGTGTGAAGACGACGTCGTTCGGATTAACATCATTTCAATCTTTTCTCTCTCAATTTACGACAAGGGTTATGTTATATGTTACATGTACATTATGGTGTCCAAAAGGGTGTCCATAATGTATATGTGGAATTATCCTTATGACAATCTGACAAAAAGACTCTCTCTCTATTTTCTTACACTACCCGACCGTGTCTTTTCAAATTCATCCTTTCTATTTCTTCTTGAAAAACGTACTTATTTGAACCATAAAACATGACTATCTCCTAATAAATATAATGGAATATGACTTAATTTTATTAAATCTTGTTTTGTAAGACTATATTGATGGATGTAACAGAATTCAAGAGAAAAGATACGAAAAGGGCCAAAATGAAAGAAAATGAAAGTTCAGAGACTAAAGTGAAAATAATCAAAAGTTGAAACAAAAGGAAAAACGAGAACAAAAATGTGTTAAGTATCAACTCTGGGATAATACAGGATGATCAAAGGAAGAAAATGAGGAAAAAAGGGCCAAAACAAAGAAAAATATAAGTCTAGGGAGCAAAGTGCAATTATCCAAAAGATGACCCGAAGAAGGAATTGACGACTTGAATGAGCTGAGCACCAATTGAATGCTATTATGGATTGATGGAATAAGAAAAGGAGGAAACGAGGTCAATATAGGAGTAAATCAAGCTCGAGGACTAAAGTGACACAATCTTAAAGGTTGTACTACTATGCGACGGCATAGTAGTAACCTCCATGCGGTCACGTCCATCCCAGCAAAAATTTCAATAGCCTAAATTTGTTCAACTATGCGGTCGTATAGGTCTTTTCAAGGGCCGAATTCTACATAGTCCTGTTTTAATTAAAACTCTTATGAAACCTCATTGGGACGCGATATATAAAACCTAAAGCTGTCAAATTAGAGGAAGGATGCCTGGAGAAGCAAAAGAACTCACACTGGAGAAGATTTTACTCCATAATCATGATGAGAAACTCAAAGATCAACGAGATTATAAGTCCATTCATACACCGGCGATGCCATTTCTTACAACTATTGTGTATTTTGTTCTTTTCTCCATGTTAGGCTAGGTTTTCATGTACTAGGAGATCGATGAACCTGATTTCTAATTTTTGCAAGTTTGACATCGGAACACGTTTATTGAATGTTGAATGATTTATATTCAATCAATTGCTTCAATAATTATGTGCACATAATTATATAAATATGGTGACTCATTTCATGCATTCGAGAGAACGGGAATAAGTTCGACATGGTATAAATCATCGTAGGGTCCCATAAGGGATAGAAATATACCATTATGCCTTGCGTGAATCTTTAAGTGCTCACAATACCACATGCATTCTTGTATAGTTGTACCTGTCATAGAGATATAGGCCGGTGATATATGAAAATATGTTCAACTTTACTTGAGAGAGATTATTGGATAGATTTAGGAGCATTGATTCTTCAAAATATCAACATGTAAATTTGTGAAACTAGGGTTAAAAGTGGATATTGCTTAGGGATTTGTGATCCTAGTGCGATTCATATTCATTGATTTCATCAATTTGACATTCAACATTAATTTTGCA